GTGTGTGTCTATGTTTGGCTTGGGCTACTATGGTTACCTTGTCCCAGCTAAACTGATGGCCTTCATTGTCCAAGTGTACCGATATTAAGGAGAGTTCTTCATGCCGTTTTGCTGCTAGTTTCCTTCCTGTCTGTCCGATGTAATGTTTGTGGTAGCTGTAATACCATGCAACGATTGCCACAAACATTACATCGGACAGACAGGAAGGAAACTAGGCATCAGAAAAAATGGCATGACGAGTTCTCCTTAATATCTGTACACTTGGACAATGAAGGCCATTGGTTTAACTGGGACACGGTAACCATAGTAGCCCAAGTCAAACATTAGACACGCATGGGAATTCCTAGAGGCATGATTCTCCACCCGTGATGCAGTCAACAAACATAGAATTGGACTCCATATACAAATCAAAACCAGAAATGATACTACTCACCATAACGGACTGGACAGTATAAATTCCAAGCGGAGGAGAATAACACTGCTTTATCAGAGGCTCCACTGATGATGTCACCTAGCATGGTGACGAAATGTCTGAACAAGAAAAAGCCAGCTACGCGAGCAAGTCAACAACCTCATCCACAACCTGAGATACAGATCTTTGCCTAAACTTTAATCATGGATAGTAGGAACTTTTCTGAAGGAGGGTCTAGGCCCGAAACGTCAGCCTTCCTGCTCCTCTGATGCTGCTTGGCCTGCTGTGTTCATCCAGCTCTACACATTGTTATCTTTAATCATGGATACTGTGTTTGCATACAAGGACAGTTTTGTGCATGAGCTGGGAAATGAATTTGGGCCAAATAGCTCCTTGTGATAGCTTACACATAGTTGTGTAGCTTCACTAATGAAAGATACCCACTTTTGGAAATGCAGCCCAACATAAATTTGTGCTTCATTGAGGATTGGTTCTGGCAACAAAAGTAATTTTTTTTTAATTTCATGTTTTATTTTAAGATTTACCTTCCAGATTGTTGTAACCTGCATGAAGCTGACTTGGGAGCTCATCCCCACAAAGTGGTCTCTAAGCATTGCATGAACTTAACCCTGGTGTCTTCATATCAATGTATCTGTGAAATGTAATGGCAAACACATCATGCTTGGGAATCAGTCATATTTGTTTAGAGTGCAACTTTTAACAATGGGAGTTTTGGATGCCTTCAACATTTCTGCTTGTATTTATTTACACAGCGGTTTCTGATATCAAGGAACTGTGGTGCTCATAATTATGAATTACAGTTTGAGATATTATTTTGAATGACTTGAAAGATATGCTGTGTGCCTAATTTCTTTCAGGAGGACAAATTGGATTTACAGAATGCATTAAGTGAATGTGAAAGACAACATGAGGAATACAAAGCAGCAAAGGAAGTAGAGCTTAGAAAACTTGAATCATCCGAACTTCAACTTAAACAAGAATTTGAACGTTTACAGAATAAGCTGAGAAGTTTTGCACAACAAAGTGAAGCTAAATATGGTATTTCAGTTACTGTACAAAATAAGTTAAACATTATCACTGATTTAATGCAATAGTGCACAGTTAGAAGTAAAGCCCTCAAAAATTTCTAATCGTTGTGATGGGTTCAAATCGTTAACATTTTAAGTGAAATTTTTGTGGCGTTTTTTCATTGCTTTATAGTTCTATTCAATTCAGAAAATTATAGATGGTAATGAGTTTTCATTAAAAGTTGGCATAAGGTTAATTCTAACTGCCAATTATAGGTGAATAATCAGCAAAAGAATAGAAGTTGAGTTTTCTCTGTTCTGGCAAGAGTTAAGTAAACGAGCTGATGTTCACCAATATTTGAACTGCTCATGATTAGACCATCAAAAATTCACCTTCTAAAGGCATTTTGATTTGAATAATTTTTGAATCATTTCCAATTGAGTTACTAATTATTGAATTTTTTATTTCCTGAAATAAACATTCTTAATAAATTGGTCCTTCAATATTTTGAAATTTCCTTTTTTTCTCAGCTATTATGCATTAAATCTACCATGTGACTGTATTAGCTAAAAAGAAAATAAACCATTAACTTTTACTTTTTTTTTTTTAAAAATCTACTTTTGCCAGATTTTTCATCTGTACAAAATTAGACATCACATTTAACCTACAATTTCAATAAAATATGTAATTGCTTTCCTTTAATCCATATGAGCAGAAAATGTAGAAGAAAATTAGGTAAGTAGTGAAAGCCCCTATCATCATCCACTCAAACTTTAAAGTGGATGCTGCCTGGTTTATTTAGTGTGGAGGTTATACCATTGGTATGCACTGTCTTAAATACTTGTCCTATCATTCCTGGCTCCATTGCTCTATATTCCTATCTTCTCTTCAATAAGTATACACCTTCTGCTATATTCATAATAGATGCAACAAAACAGTTCAAACTGTGGAAAAACTGTAGAATGAGATTTCATCAGAATCAAATTGATGTCACGCATCTGAGTGAACCAAATTTGACTAACTCCCCCCGCCCGCCATCCCCAATAAATACTTTTTAAATCTCCTGCAGCTAATTGGCTGTGTTTGCTTTAGGGAATTGGGTTGGGGAGAGCAGAGGTACGTAAGTTCAGAATGATCATTTGTTTTCCTACACCATCTAAAAATTCCTCCAATAATTCAACAACTGCAAAAATAATTACTCTGTTCCACTTCTCTCCAGGCAAGCTTGATTTGCTTCACATCAGGGAACATTTTTCTTTTCCATGTATCTTGCTGTAAATATTACCTCTTACAATCCCCATAATATTGTGTCTGAAGAGAATTGGACAAATTCTACCACTTCTGGTATAGATCTGTTGCTCCTTCAGCTTAATGTTTAGGGTATACTTGGAGAAAGTAAATTTATAGTAAGCTATCAGTTTTATTGTTACCATTTTTTTTCTTTGTATGATTTCATATATTTCCTTTATATAGAAGATTGGCAAGATTTTGCGGAGATAAAAGTGCTGCAAATGCATTTCATTATATTATAGTATTAAAAGCTCTATCTAATGTAAATTTGAAAATCTGTTTACAGACCTAGTTTCTGGAAAGGAAACCTTAAGTCCTGAATACCAGCCATGTGATGAACAATGCAGACAACAAGCACAGAAATTACAATGGGAATGTCAGCAGCTCCAGAAAAAGCTGGAGAAAGCATGTAGGCAGCTTCAGCAAACTGTTCATGAGCATAGTATTGAAGTACAACATGTCAAAGGTAAGTATTCAACAGTAATTTAAGTGAGACTAGGCTGATACTGATCAGAGGGGGAAGTTGGGTAAAACTTTTTTAAAAATTAGGATGCTGTTGTCTTTCAGCTTGTTTCCCCGTCCTTATCGAGAACAACATCCTTAATCTTTTTATTTAACCAGTGGCACAATTGTTGATTGTCTATCAGGAGTTACTGTTCCACAATCTATTGGTATTTTGCATTAAATTCAATGTAATTTTGTTCTCTGCACACCAGAGATGGTCTAAGTTTTTGTTTCAATGTCAATTTTTGTATTTAGCAATGCCTTTAAACGTGTACTTTTCATGTACTACATGAAAATCTGCTTTGCTTGGTTCTGATTTTAACATTTTCAGCTGTCAGTGGCAATTAGTTTAAAAATAATATCCTGAATACTTCTCATGATCAATAACCCTAACCCTAACCCTAACCCTAACCCTGTTTACAGTCCTAAAACCAAATTTCTGTAAATGCACAACAGATCTTGCAGCATCTGTAGGGAGAGAAATGGAATCAAACTCTCAGTTGATTACCTTCCTTCAGAAGTGGTAAAAGTTAGAATGCAACAGGTATCGAGTAAGTACAGAGGCACAAAAGGTGTGCAGGAGGCAAAACCCAATTAGAAGGTCTGAAATGGGATGGCATAAAATGTATTAGAGATGAAAAGGTTGATGATGCATGGTGAAAGAAATGTTGTTGAGAAAATAAGAAAAGCTAAATGTGAAAAGGAGTATCTTCACACAGTATCCAAAAAGCAGAGATTGTGATCTGGAATTGTTGAGCTGAGTCCTGAAGAGCCCTAAAGTGCCAAATTGATTAGGGATACCTTCAGACTTATTAGTATTTTCTTGCATTTATAGCATTCAAGGCTCTTTGTCTTTTAAGAAAGCAAAGGTGTGGCTGGGAACAAGCTCCAAGTGTGAAGTGAGGAAGAGGTCATCTGATTAAAATGGCTGTTTACTAGTGATGTAAGAAGTACTGATTCACATGGAAATAAGGAATCTCATGCTTTTGTTTGGGAATCGCATTTTCGTGACTTCTGGCATGTTTAGGAAGTTGTTACTGATGTGTTATGAGCGTTTCATTTTTTTTAATGTTAATAAATGTTCAATGTCTATTGCACAAAATTTTGGGGAATAGAATCACCCAGACTTTAGAACTGAAATAAACTAAAACATTGGCTAGACTAAAATATTTGATAATACTTTTCTATGCAAATTGAGGGGTTAACAATGGGTGTAATTTAGGATGAGAGTAATCTTACATCAACTTGAATATTCACAATTTGGTGAACTTTCATCTACTTATTTAGGTTAACTAGTGTGTTTTTGAGATGTGGATGGGGGATTCTGTTACTTAAGCAGTTGCACCCTTTGTTAGCTAAATAATGATCAAACCACTATTTAAAAGTGTCTGAAATGTGAATTCTGTTCAGCAATTTGATACACGGTTATATGCAAGCAAATGCTGTATAATGTGATTTTCTGAAGCAAGCCAAATTGTTTGTCCTTAAGTAATTGAACTATAGTGAACATTCCACTTTATTAATTTAGAGAAGGCTTTGGTTCACAAAAGCAAAAAATGCCTTGATCACATTATCTAATAATAATGAATTTTCAAATATTTCTATTGCTGTTTTTCAGAGGAACATCAAAGAACCATAAATATTTTGCAAAATGAGAATGACTATCTTGTGAGAAGACTTAAAGAAAGTGAATCAACTGACAGTAAAACAAATTCTTGGTATGTTCATACTATATAGTCCAATAATCGAGAACTTTGTAGTGCATGTCCCTTTTTATTTTGTTTTCTTTTAGTAATTAAATGATGTTATAAGTTGACATATTGTTGATCTTCAGTGAAGTTTGACATCCTGCATATGAATTCCCAGGAGACACTTCTAATAGTTAACATCACAAGAGCCATATTGTACTTGAATCTTGCCTTGGCTCTTTTTTTCTTTCATAGATCATAGAATCCCTGTAGTGTGGAAACGGGCCCTTTGGCCCAACAAGTCCACACCGACTCTCGGAGCATCCCACCCAGACCGATCCTGCATAATCCACCTAATCTACACATCCCTGAACAGTACAAGCAATTTAGCATTGCCAGTCCACCAAACCCGCACATCTTTGGACTGTGGGAGGAAACTGGAGCACCTGGAGGAAACCCATGCAGACACTGAGAGAATGTGCAAACTTCACACAGACAGTCATCTGAGGGTAGAATCGAATCCGAGTTCATGGCTCTGTGAGGCAGCAGTGCTAACCACTGAGCCACCATGTCGCTCCTTCATTGCAGTTCTTAAATTCCTATTTGCTTTAGTGGATTTTGCTTTTCGGTTCTTAATATTTCTGTGCTTTTGGCATCAATATGTTCTGGAACAGAATATTTTGGAATTTTCTTCTGCAGTTGTTTAGGTTAGATCAGAACTTTCTTGTGTTGGGTCTTCCACAGTTACACATTTGCCTCGAAATATTGATTTGGAATCAAGACCTGGTATAATTAAACAACTTCTCAAAGTATCTGAAGCACTTGAAGGGAGCCTGAGTCTGCAAGATTGTGGTCCTGAGTTTCCCAACGTACATTCCTTTAGCACAACCCCCTACTTGGACTGTTGAACTGCAGAATTATACCTACTATTTACACCATATATTGGGAAGAAACTTTTACGTAACCTCACCTTTGGTGATTTATTCAGGTTGACATATTGCAGATTTGTACACAGGTCCTGTGCTATACAGAGAGCTTGTGTTGTGGTTCTGTGTTTGCACAAACCTGCCAATCTCACATCAGCTGTAGTTCACAGGATGTAGTGTTATGACACTGGTTTGACTTGCTATCTCTATCAGCCTCACGATGACAGGAAATTAAAACATTCAATGACCCTCAACATTTCTCAATTGTTCCTAGCCAGGCTGTACAAATAACAGATCTTGGACAGCAAGTTTATACCTCAAACAAAAATTAACAATTTATTATTCTTAATGTAACAATACTGTAACATAAACAACAAGGCAATCTAATTAATATCTACGATATAAGCCCAATCATTTTTTCTAATAAACCCCCATGCTCGTACCAACAGACAGATGTACAGACACAGTTAAAGGATAAATTCTAAAAAAATAAAGAAATTGTAATTTACCAGTTTGATAACTTTTCAAGAATGCTAAAGTCACCAGTCAATGCAGACAGTTTCCGCAGACCTCTGAAGATTTCTACTTATCGCTGATTGGGATTCTTTTTTCAGAACTTTCAACTAATCAGTAACTGGAGAATAACTAGAGAGAGAGTGCAAAATCCAAAAACAGCACCAGTCTGGAAGCCTCCTGAACAACTGCCTCCTGCCCAAAACCTTATCTACTAGTTCACTCTTGGCTTTTCTTTCTTTTTCACCATTTTCTGTGATTGGCTGGCCAGTGCCAGTTTTCAATTGATTGACCAATTTGACATCCAACTAGCTACCAGTCCTCAGCAAAACACATCGCTGTGCTGAATCATCTGCAGTGTTCTTAGAGTAGTAATTAATTTGCAATATCTTTCCAGGCCACTCCCAAAACCAAACATCTATCTTTTTGTGCTTTTTTTAAAAACAAACTACTGTTCAAAGTTTAATTTTCAACTTAGTTCCAAAAAAATGTGTAAGAGGATAAAAAGTGTGATGGTCTCAACGTTAGTTTCTGTTTATTTGAATTCTGTTGCAGGAGTCCTCTTTCTAGACAGACAGATTTGTTGTATGGTTTCAGTAACACTTGTTACAGGAGCTGTACTCTTTCTTGCTGCGCACCAGAAGATGAACTATGAAATGGTGCTGGTCACTTCTTGTATGTCCTAGTCATATGTCATTAGCATATTCCCTCTTAACGTAATATCAGCACATTGAATCTATTTTTCTTGCACTTAAATCTTTGTCTGGAGCATTGCTGAAATAAGTAGAGCACAGTTTTATGTTGCAGATCTCTTTCTATTTCCAAGATGAGGATATGGCGGCTGAACTTATTCTAATGAACCAACTACTCAAGTAACAGAATCCCCAACCACATTTCACAAATGCACACTACCTAGCCTAAATATGTAGATGAAAGTTCATGCATACAGAAACCAAATTATGAATATTAAAGTTGATGTAAGATTGTACACATGCAAATTACACCATTGTTAACACCTACATTTGCATAGAACAGTATTGTCCAAATATATTTTATGCTAGCCAATGCTATGCTTTACTTTTGGTTCTAAAATCTGGGTGATTCTATTCCCACAAAATTTTGTGCAATAGATGATATTGATTTAAGCAATTTGTAGGGAACACCACAAGTCATTCAGATAATGCAAAATTTCTGGACTACTCCTGTGATGGTGCTTCAACAAGCAGCCTCCATATAAATCAATTGATCATCAGGCCAAGTCACAGATCTGATCATTGAACAGAATGTGAAAGATGAGGGAACAGAAAGCACCATTCATTCAGTAGTCTACCCTAGGCAAGTAAATATTGAGCATCAAAAGTAGTTAGTTTTTGTAGATTAGATAAAGACTAAAATAAATATCAACACTGGAAGCCCTCATAATTATCTGAACATGATCAATTGTTTTAAGATTTTGCTATTTCAAGTAACATAATATGTGCTTACAGCTACCTTTCCAATATTTTTCCCCTTTTTAGTTTACAGGAAAATTGGAACCCTGAGAATTCATGCAAGTTGATCTCTGCAAAAGGGTTAGAAGAAATTCGGTGTCAGTATTTGAGAGCTGTGGACAAAATCCGAGGTGGTTACCATCAGTCTATTTTTGTGCATATCTTCTGTGCAATGCAAGAATTACAAAATGCAAAAATATCAATCTATCCACTTTTCTACCAATCCTGATGTATGTTACAGTAATAGAATAGTTGACTAATTGTAATTAAATGAATTGAAATTTGAATTACATCTATCTTTTTGGTTTATAATTTTAAATAGCTGCTGTGAAAGAACAAGTTTTACTGGCATTTCTCATAGCTGTTTTCAATGCAAGTATTGATCTTAATCAGTTTTTGGCACAACAAACTTCTCTTTAACTTTGCAAACTTATTTGGCGAATACCTACAATGTATTATGCTGGCGTAAGTAGATACCATGCAACAAATTCCCCATTGTACCTTTTTAAAATTAATCAATTAATGGCTCCCTGATGTATTTTGTCGATGTTGATTGGAATTCAGAGAAGGGTATTTTCGAATATATTCACACGCCTGCAATGGTATAATCCTTGAATGCATAATGATTAGTCAGTAAAAATGCCAGCTTTTTAATGTGTTTTACCTCATTGTTCACCAATCATTTGGGGATTGATAAGGGCTCGTTAAAGTCATTATTATATGATTGAATATTACATTCGGAGGGGGAGACCAGTGGGTTCAAGATTCATGTTTTAACCCTAAATAGGGCAGTAATGAACAAAGAATTAGCTAAAGTGAACTGGAAAATTATTGAGAGAGGTCAAGAGAGATGCAGTGGCAGACATTAAAGGGGATATTTCAAATGTTTAAAAAGTATGTTCATTTGAGAAAAAAAAAATTCCAAGGAAAGTAGTTAACAAAAAAGTTAAAGATAGTATCAGATTTGAAGAAAAAGCATATAATTACACAACGGCAGGTGACATCTCAAGATTGGACAGAATGTACAAAACAGCAAAGAATGACAATAAGAGAGAGAAGAACTAAAAGTATGAGAGAAAATTTAAATAGAAATATAAAAAACAGTAAGAGTTTCTATTACAAAAACAAAGTTGCCGTAAAAGCTCAGCAGGTCTGGCAGTATCTGTGAAGAAAAAGTCAGTTAACATTTCGGGTCCGGGTAACGTTAACTCTGACTTTTTCTTCACAGGTGCTGCCAGACCTGCTGAGCTTTTACAGCAACTTTGTTTTTGTTCCTGATTTACAGCATCTGCAGTTCTTTTAGTTTTTATTTAAGAGTTTCTATTAACTTTTCTTTAGAAAACATTAACAAAAAGTGGGCATTAATTGTATAGAAAGTGAGCCTGTGGAATTAGCAATGGAAAATCGAGATGTCAGATGAATTGAACAAGTATTTTGCATCAGTCTTTATAGGGTAGAATTAACAACTCAAAAATAGCTCTAACTCAGGAAACAGAAGGGAGGGAAGAAGGAAAATTATCATCACCCAGAGAAGTGGGTACTGAGCACATTGTTTTACTGCAATTTGACAAGTCCATTGGTCCAGGTGGACTATATCCTATATCTTTAAAAGAAGGGACTTGAGATGCATTGGTTCTAATTTTCCAAAATCTCCTAGATTTGAGGGAGATTTTATTAGAAAGTGGGAACAAGACAGGAAACTACAGGCAAGTTAGTTTCTGTCATAGCTGAAGCTATTATTCTAAAAAAAATCTAAGCAGGGTTTTTAGAAAACTTCAAAAGTAATCATTTGGAGTCAACACGGTTTTGTGAAAAGAAAATCCTGTTTAACCCATTTATTGGCATTCTTTAAAGAAGTAACATGTTCTGTGGATAAGAAGAAACTGATAGAGGTACTGGAATTCAGTTTCCAGAAGGCATTTGGCAAGGTGCCACAACACATGTTATTGCAGAAAGTTAAAACCATGGTGTGGGGATGTGACATTTTGGCATGCATAGAAGATTGGCTGACTAACAGGTAGGCAGAAACAGGTCTTGTTCTGATTGGAAGGATGACAATTGGTGGTATGCCACAGGGAACAATGCTGGGCCACAACATTTTATATTCTATAAATGAATTAGATTAAGGACTGACGGCATCATTGCTAAAATTGCTGATGATACAAAGGTAGATAAGAAGGTGAGTTGAGTTTTCCCATTAGCTTGTGGGACATTGATGTCGCTGACTAGGCTGTGTGGACATGAGGTTACAAAGACAGGTTAAATGAGTGGACAGAGATCTAGCAAATGGAGTATTATAGGCAAGTATGAAATCATCCATTTGGGCAAGAAGAATTAAAAGAGCGTATTAACTGAATGATTAGAGATTGTCGGGTTATGGGAAGAGCAGCGGAGTACTCCCCAGTTATAACTTAACTGACATCATTGCATTGTTTCCTTGAGATTTGCTTTGTGCGCATTGGTTGTCAAATTTATTTGCAGTCCAACAGTGATTGCCATTCAGACCCACGGGAATAGAACTGTGGTTCTGGCATCACACTTAGACTAGACCAGGTAAGAATGGCAGTTTTCTGGCTTCCTGACGGTCATCCAAAGAATCTTAATTCCAGATTTTTATTGAATTCAAATTTCACCATCTACCATGGCAGATTTCAAACCCAGGTACCCAAAATATTACCTGGGTTTCTGGATTAATAGTCCAGTGATAATACCATTTAGTCTGTCGCCTCCCCATTTAGTCCTGTATCTCAAGGACTTTTCTTAATTTGTGCAGGAGACATGATTCGTTATATTCAAGAAAGTAAGAAGCGAGCAGCTGAAATGATTCGTGCAGAGGTATTGAAGGAACGTCAACAAACCGCACGGAAAATGCGGAAATATTACTTGACTTGCCTCCACCAACTCCTAGTAGATGGTGGGAACAATGATGGGTAAAAATCTTTTGTTGCAGCTTCTAAAAGAGCATTATTTACTGTGGTCACCAATGTATTAATGACGTAATTAAGTTGTAAAATGGACATTTGAGACAATGAGGAATAACTTCTGAAAGAAAAAAATGTCCCTTTTGATGCACATGCTCATAAAACTCTTTCGGAAATCAAAGATCAAATAGTATTCCAGTGCATAAGACCAAAACTTTGAGTGGCAGAATTTGACCTTTTTTAAATCTGACATTTTTTTTTTTGGTGTGTATATGAAACCAGAGTCCTGTAATAGTTTCTTTCTTTTTTGAGAGGACAAAGACCAACCAATGCAGACTTCTTACTGATTCTTAACTACGGATCAATATATATCGGGGAAATGTACATTTTGAAGTAATGAGACAGAGGTCAGTGACTGTGGAGAACAATGACCTGGAAGCGCTAACATATTTGAACGTATCATAATTATTTCAGTTCTCTGCATTTGGTCAAGCTCTAATTTTAATTTATTTTGCCTTTTCTCTCCCTGTGCTTTTAACTTCCACTTCTGAGGGCAGCAAAATACATGGGGCCATTTTTCCACAGGGCGGTTCTCTGTACCTCATAGGTGACTTTTCAACTTGAGACTGACATTGCTGAGCTTGACCTTGTTCACTTGTGCAATTGTTTAAAGAGTACACACATGCTTTTTTAGATTGTACTACTTTAATCCAATTTAATTGGTCTATTTCAAAATAAATTCTTAGTTTATTTTTAAGAGTACAGTAATGTGTGTAGGCAAATTGAATACTTGTTATAAAACAGGAGTATTTCTTGGCATTGAACTAATGCTTTAGGCTTCTAATACATGAAGCAAATGTTTATTGATCCCTACACTCCTCACCAATAGCAAATTATGTTTGAAAAGCCCAGACACTGAAGCAGATGGTTGTGATCACTTGGATGTTATTAGTTCAAGAACTAAGTTAATTGTACTGGCAATAGGGATTTACTTAAAATGGTTGTCATTTTTTCAGTGCTGAAAAGAGGATCATGAATGCTGCTAGCAAGTTGGCTGCAATGGCCAAAGCTTTAGAAACTCCTCTTCCAAATCGAAAGCGTGATAAAGCTGAAACCCTGACAGGTCAGTATGATATTTTGGAATATGTATATTCAGATTTTGGGTTTTTTGTTCCTAGTTTAAGGTTGCTTTTGTTGATTGTGTTTAATGTTTTGATTTTATTTGAGAACATAATATTAAAAAGTCAGCTGTATTCGAGAGGTAAAAATGCTTGCTAAACTTCAGTGGTATAGCATGTTTGTCCTTTGATAGTGTGCTAGGAAGTAGTAAGGTTTCTACCACAGATGTTGGCACACACCTCTACCTTTTCGAAGTCCCTCCAAAATTAGAGTTGACTTGTACACCGAGTAGGAAAGTGAATTGTGGGTTTGGGTGGTTGCCATTTTGAAATGTCATTGGCACCTGATGCAAAGAATGGATGTGCATGAAAGAATCAAGCAAATGACACAAACATTTGTCCATTTTAAGATAACACTAAGTAAAATATGCATTTGTGGATTGAAAAATTAAGGCTGACTAGTAGTGCCAGTGTGGCATGTCATGGCTGAAAAGCGGGAATGGGAGGTGTTAGTCTATGTGAAAAAGCAAGATGTTGGGACTGGATAAATAGAATTGACTTGTTTTTCAGGTCAACTTGTATGCTGCAATACCTTCTCATCAGAGAGAGAAAGTTAAGCCGCCCCAAGCCCTACTTACTTGTACTAACAGTCAGCTCAAACTGCACTTTCAGAGACCAAGAAAACTGATAACTTTTCAATATGTTAGGAAGCAATATTCTATAGCTTGGTCTAAAAAGATTGATGTAAATGGGCAGAGGCCTGAACCATACCTACCCACCACCCTCCTCCGCTTGGTTGAGCTTGTCCTCGCCCTCAACAACTTCTTTTAACTCCTCTCATTTTTCTCCGGTCAAAGGGATGACCATTGGTACCCACATGGACCCCAGTTATGCCTGTCCCTTCATGGGGTACGTGGAACATTCTTGTTCTAGTTCTATTCCGGCCCTCATCCACAACTCTTTCTCCGATATATCAATCATATCATCGGTGCTGCTCTCCCCTCTTGTCCGGAATCAGAAAAGTTCATCGATTTCACTTCCAAATTCCATCCTGCCTTCACTTTCACCTGTCTTTGACTGCTCCCTTCTCTTTCTTGAAATCTCTGTTTCCATTTCTGGGGATAGACTGGCCACTAATGTCCACTATAAACCCACCAATGGCACGGTGGCTCACTGGTTAGCACTGCTGCCTCACAGCACCATGGACCCAGGTTCGACTGTCTGTGTGGAGTTTGCACATTCTCCCCGTGTCTGTGTGGATTTCCTCCGGGTGCTCCAGTTTCCTCCTACAGTCCAAAGATGTGCAGGCTAGGTGGATTGCCCATGCTAAATTGCCTGTAGTGTTCAGGGATGTGTAGATTATGTGGGATCCTCTGAGGGTCGGTGTGGACTTGTTGGCCGAAGGGCCTGTTTCCACACTGTAGGGATTCTATGACTCCCACAGCTACCTGGACTATATATCCTCGCACCCTACTTCCTGTAAACACTCCATCCCATTCTCTCAGTTCCTCCGTCTCCGTTGCATATGCTCAGATGACGCCAACTTTGACAAGGGAGCCTCCGAAATGTCTGCCGCCTTCCTCGACCAAGGAATCCCTAGCACCATTGTTGACACGTCTCTCAACCGGGTCCGACCCATCTCCCGCACTTCTGGCCTCGCCCCTTCTCAAAGAACAACACCTCATTTTCTGCTTGGGGACCCTGCAGCCCTCCAGACTCCATATTGAGTTCGATAATTTTAGGGCCTACACTCTCCCATGCCTTAGACCCCTATCCCACACACCAGGCCTTGTTATCACAGCCTGCCATTGCACACTATCCATTGTTAGTCACTAACAGTGCCCATTCACCCTCCTAGCCAGATTGTTATCAATTCCTTTATCCAATTGCTCTTCTCTCTTTTTGGGCTCTATCCTTTTATCCTGTCATTTACTCCCTACCCCATCCCCCTTCCTATGTTCTGCATCTAAACCAACATTTTCCTAGCTGCCGTCAGTTCTGAGGAAGGGTCACCAGACCCAAAATGTTAACTCTGATTTTTTTTCTTCACAGATGCAGCCAGACCTGCTGAGCTTTTCCAGCAATTTCTGTTTATGTTCTTGGTGAATGACTGATGCCTGTTTTGTGCTAGAAATTAAGTATCAATACTGATTCTTCATATTTTGTTGAACTTTTTGCTTATTTCCATCATTTTAAAGAAGTTTTATCCCATTAACTTTGAAGGAAGGCATGTGTTTTTGCTTGCATACCCCACTGGTTAGTACTTTTTACGATTTGTTTAATCTGCTCTTTAATTAGGTGCCGAAGACAGTTGGCTCTGATTTTAAGTCTGCATAAGAATGTGGAAATATTAAAACTTGAGCCCTCTGTGGTGCAAGCCCGCATCTCTTCTAATTTGAATATGTCTGCAGCGTAACAAAAGTAAAGGGCATAGTCCTGCAAAGTGTTTTGGGATGCCCTGTAGTTATGAATGAAACAGCCTAGGTGCATATTGGTTTTGTTTAGCTGAATTATAGCTAATTATTTTCAACATTACTGTGATGTATATAATCAAGAACTGTTGTAACAAAGTTGACAATTTGATATTTATATTTCAGGCACTTAGCTTTCTGTTCTAACTTCATTTGCATCTGGCTTCTACTGTAGCTGATGAAATTTGTTCTTAGTTCTGTCAATTGATCTGTCATTTTGCATGGATGAGTCTTTGTGTACGTGTTTTACTTGCTTTCTTCCATCCAAAGCCTGTCCAAATATGAAAAGTTCAAAACAAACTCCAGTCATTTCTGAGAATGATCAAGAGACCAGTGGATCAATCCATGTGCGGGCAAATCATGTTGAGAAACCATCTTCCAATGAAGACCAGGTCCAGAAATTCAAAAAGCACACAACAGGCACAGTATTTATGCCACGTAATTTGAACAATAATTTATATGGTGCAACTGCAGAGAATGGCATTTCAGATGAAGAATTATCTACAAGTTATAAACAAGTTAACATTCATAAAATTGAAGAAACATCTGATATTTTACAAAAAGACACTGCGTTGTTTTATGAAACAAAAGATGGTCATCAGCTGAATGGTGCAGTGTCAAAATCCGAGTTTCTCAAAACTGCAAATCTTGGACATTTTCAGAATTTGGCCAAGTACCCTTCCCAAATGTGTAACAGCAAAGCCCCCACATTGAACTCTATTGATAGTCATAAGGACAGAACATCTTTGCAAGTGGCATGCAATCAGGATTGTGTCTTGCCTGCAAAATGTTTTATACATAATTCAGAAGTATATGTCTGTTCCAAACCTATGACCAGGGCACCAAATAATGCGCAAGAAACTCCTGAAAGAGATGATGGTGATTTTGTTACCCATCTTGAAGCCATCAGGCCTTGTCAAATGGACACTTTTAATTTTAGGCAAGCTGGAGGAAAAGTATGCCATGTAGAAGATTGTAGCACACCTATAATACGCAACGAGTCCAGCGGCACTTCCAAGCCACAGTCAGCTACAAATGGTGCTCCACAAATGTCACCTTCCATTTCCTCTGTAACTTCTGAACTTAGCTCTCTTTCTAATGGAGAACGTGCTTGCTTTTCAAGTAAAACAATTCCATTTGTGTCAAGAATAGACACCAAACAAATGGAAGATGTTGCAGAAAGCAGTATTTCTGCTATTAACAGGGATCCATTGAGTACAAGGACAAAGCCTCATAAATATATTAAGTGCACTGAGCCTGAACAGGAACTAGCACTGAATGGCTGGACAACAAAGATGAACAAACTTTCCCATCAGAAGTATCTGTCACATTTGATCCCCAATACAGACACTATTCAGCAGGACAGTGGATTTGACAGTCCGTTTTTTCATTAGTCAAAAAGTGCAATGTTACAAACAAATCCTTCATTTTTAAGATACCTTTAATGTCACTGAACTAATTGAGCTCTTTTCATTTATCTGTCGCTGGTATTAAGGATTCATGATTTTGCATAAATTATGCCTGATGTAAAAGGTTTGTAATTTTAAAAGTTGCACATATTTATGTTTCTAAAAACTATTTTTGTACCTCAAACTGATTTGTTTTCCTGTTTGGTTTGTATGTTTAGATGTTTTTTGGGGATAAAATTTTTATTTTGATACAATGCTAATAAAATGTTCTTGGACTTTTTCTTAAGAAAAGATTTGGTTCGGAAGTAGTTTAAATCCTTGAAGCAGTATGTTGGGCCAAGATCTTTCAGATGGTGGACTTGCCTATCCCACTGCCCTAAGTATTTGTAGGGAATGCTTTCTTGTTGATGCTGGCTGCTGCATAGCCATTTAACATTTTAGGCATTTAATAAATGCTATTTCCAACCCTCACTGGTGTGGAAGGTGAGGCCCTGCCTCAGGAAAGCCACCAGCTGATTTGCTTAACTGGGAACTCAGTACCAGTAATTCAATGGCCTGGACTGGGACTACAACCATTCCCCAAATCCTATGGCCTGGGATCTGGAACCAGTTAAGTGGAGTGATCTTGCGGAGAGTCAAGTCCCAAGGATTTGGGGATCTTTAAGTCTGTATGGAGGGAATACCTACTGTGCTTTGAAGACCTGTGGGGAAGGCAACCTTATCGCAATGTACTAGATTGTTGGGGGGGGGGGGGCTTGAATCATTTCACACTTCTGTGTTGTCTATGTGGGAGAGTTTAGGACCAGAGGCATAATCTCCGAGTAAGGGGTGGCCTATTTATGACAGATGAAAAGGAATTTCTTGTTTGAGGGTAATGAATCTGTTGAATTCATTAAAGCAGAGGGCTGTAGAGGTAGGCTTAAGTATATTTGAGAAACTGATTTTTAACCAGTCATGGAATTAAGGCTTAATGGGACAATGGAAGGAAAGTGGAGTTGAGGATTTTCTAATGAGCTGTGATCTCAATGAATGGCAGAGTAGATTCTGTGGGCTGAATGGTCTGCTTCTGCTTCTGCTCCTACAACTTATAGTCCTATGGTACATTGAGCAGCAGTGTTACACCATGGCACCCTCACCTCCCTTTTCTATCAAGGCTTGAGTAAGGTGACTCACTGGACTTTGTTCTATGTTCCTGGACTCCTGCCAACCTGGAAATTAAGGCTGGTGGGAAGTCAGCCTTTCAAGTAATCATTGTCCACTTTTTGGGCCTTAACTGGGGCCAGGAAAGGTCAGCCTAAACTTTGCCCATCCCACTGCAGACTTGCGGACCGGTGGTGGTTTGGTCATCTGGGGCATTTTATGAACCCTGTGACCCACAGCCATTTCAGGGCAGCATAAAATTCAATCCTTAATATTTCTCAAATTGCATACCAAAGTTTTGTTGCCTCTTTAAATTGCTTTGAGGCCTATTTATTCTTCTGATTTGTAAATTGTTCTGTCATGTGGACTTTAAACAGCGCAAGTACTTGGAGTTTTTTTTTAATTTGTTTCTGTTATAAAGCTATTCAAGCATGTAACATCTTATTGCAACTATTTTAGGTTTACAGATTATGCTTTCTGTTTTTTAGGTGCAAAACTGATTTAATACTCTTTCCAAGATTTTTACTTCCATAAAATCCTTTTAAATCTACTACTCAAGGCTAGATTATTTTGTTATGTTAATAGCCCTCCTTTTAAGTTATATTTCTATGCTAATTAGGTTAGCAGTTTTGTGGAAGAGTCTTTTTTTTTTATGAACCCCTTGGAGACTGCTAACTTGTAAAAAGGGATGCATTTCCATGCGACTGACAATCATCAAAGGACATTAATGTCTGTAAAGTCACAAATGTAATATAATCAACATAGAAAAACAGTAGGTGGCTGTATTTGTTGTTTGTTAATGTGAACCCTAACCGTTTCACTGCAAAACTAACTTTCATAACAAGTATCACAAAACGCCTTTGTGTGCCAAACTTGCAGAAATGTAGCACTACAGGATAACTTTCTCCCAGTTCTTCCATAGTTTTGTTATTTACATACAAAATAATTTGAAACAGTAAAAATTGCAGTATTCCATCTATCCCAACACTATCCTTTACACTACTCATTGTAGCCGGACGGGCCACTTAAAATGGCAGAAACAGATAATACACCAAGTATGCTGGTAAATCAAGCCAAGCATTGGCCAAAGTATCTGTGCAAAGATACTGAAATAAACAAGCCGCAGACCCCAGACAGGCAGGCTGCAGCTGCACACAGCACAATACAAAATTGACTAAGCCTATTTACTAGGACAATAGAAAACATGGATCTGTTTCTGGAACAAAGGGACACCTCACACTCTTATCTGGGAAGCCTACCTGACTTAAGTGCCACTGACACTGTCGGAAATGGAGGACCAAAGACCACCACAGTATCCGCATGGCACTGCCTGATTGGGTCTGATCAATCAGGGTAATTGATCCCTGATCGATCAGAATCACCCTCGGGAGTGGTAACTCAAGACCAAACACGTTATGAAGAGGCGCCCCGGGGACCATGGGAGAGGAAGACCGGATGACCATCACCACGTGGATCAAGGCCAAGATCTAGCTTGGTGATGTCTGATCATTCTAAGTTAAAGTACGAGATACTGACTTAGATTTACAGTATTAATTGTCAGATTTATAGTATTTTTAGTTTTTAGCATAATCATTATTATAGTATTAATTGTGTTATAACTAATAACGATCATTTCCTATTACTATTAAGAGTCATCTCACAGTCCTTTGCAGACTATACAGGCTAAATACACTGTGTGGCGAGTGCACATTGAAACAGCAGAGAGAATTCCCTTCTCTAACACGTATGTTTGACATAACTGTTACTTTCATGTTTTAATCTTTGAGTTTTTTTAGTCTTTTCCTTGAGTACTCACACAATTGAACTTTGATTTTCTCAGCTTTCAAAGACCCCTTCAGGTTTCAAACCAAACATTTCTGGTTGGAACTTTCAAACTAAAACCCTTACACTGGGAACCTATTTTCTAACATTTCTGAACTAACTTGTTTCTCTTTCACACATCCAACTTCAACCTTGACTCTGGCAAACTTAACCCAAAGGTTTTCCAAGTTGTGTGTTTTTCTTCTAAGCAAAAAATGAATCCCTGATCTTGCTAACTGAAAGCAAGTAATGTTCTTCTGTGTTTACTTTGGCCACAAATAAAACTGTTCCAAAGCACCCAACTCCAGCTCCTCACATACAGCGTTAGGGAACTGGAGCTGGAGCTGGAGTTGGATGAACTCCGGATCATTCAGGAGGCTGAGGCAGTGATAGGGAGGAGTTATAGGGAGGTGGTCACACCCAAGTTACAGGACAAAGGTAGCTGGGCGACTGTCAGGAGGGGGAAAGGGAATAGGCAAACAGTGCAGGGATCCCCTGTGGCTGTTCCCCTCAATAATAAGTATACCGCTTTGGGGGCGGGGGGGGGGGGGGGGGGGGACAACCTACCAGGGGAAAGCCATGGCAGCCAGGTCGCTGGCACTGAGTCTTGCTCTGTGGCTTAGAAGGGAAGGGGGGAGAATAGGAGAACAATAGTAATAGCAGATTCAATGGTTAGGGGAACACCAGGAGATTCAGTGGCACCGAGCGAGACTCCTGGATGGTATGTTGCCTCCCGGGTGCCAGGGTCAGGGATGTCTCGGATTGAGTCTTCAGGATTCTTAAGGAGGACGGAGAGCAATCAGAAGTCGTGGTACACATCAGTACCAATGACATAGCTAGAAAACGGGATGAGGATCTGAAAAGTGAATATAGGGAGTTAGGATGGAAGCTGAAAGCCAGGACGAGCAGAGTAGTAATCTCAGGATTACTACCGCTGCCACGGGCTAGTGAGGCCAGAAGCAGAGAGCGAGTGCAGCTGAACACGTGGTTACAGAGCTGGTGTAGGAGGGAGGGCTTCAGGTTTGTGGATCACTGGGGAAGGTGGGACCTGCACAGGAAGAGCGGGTTGCACCTGAACTGGAGGGGCACCAGTATCCTGGGCGGGAGGTTTGCTAGAGCTCTTCAGGAGGGTTTAAACTAGTTTGGCAGGGAATGGGAACCGGAGCTACAGATCAGAGGATGGGGTAGCCGGTGTACAGGCAGATAGAGCAAGCAGAGAATCTGTGAGGAAGAATGAGCAGTTGATAGGGCAAAATGGCAGTCAGTGCGATGGGTTGAGGTGTGTCTACTTCAATGCAAGAAGTGTCAGGAATAAGGGTGACGAACTTAAGAGCATGGATCAGTACTTGGAACTACGATGTTGTGGCCATTACGGAGACTTGGATAACACAGGGGCAGGAATGGTTGCTGGATGTTCCGGGGTATAGAAAGAAAGAAATAGGGAGGGAGGTAAAAGAGGTGGGCGAGTGGCATTGCTAATCAGGGATGGTATCACAGCTGGAGAAAGGGAGGTCGTGGAGGAGGGTTTGTCCACTAGGTCAGTATGGGTGGAAGGCAGAAACCAGAAAGGAGCAGTCACTTTATTGGGAGTTTTCTATAGACCCCATTAGCAACAGAAACACTGAGGAACAGATTGGGAGACAGATTTTGGAAAGGTGCAGAAGTAATAGGGTGGTTGTCATGAGTGACTTCAACTTCCCTAATATAGACTGGAACCTCCTAAGTGCAGATAGTTTGGATGGAGCAGATTTTGTCAGGTATGTCCAGGAAGGATTTCTGACTCGATATGTAGCTAGGCCGACTAGAGGGGAGGCCAGATTGGATTTGGTACTTGGCAACGAACCAGGCCAAGATCTCTTGGTGGGAGAGCATTTTGGTGATAGTGATCACAACTCCCTGACATTCACTATAGTCATGGAGAAGGATAGGAGCAGACAGTATGGGAAAGTATTTAATTGGGGGAGGGGCAAATACGTTGCTATTAAGCAAGAACTACGGAGTACCAATTGGGATCAGATGTTCTCAGGGAAATGCACGACAGAAATGTGGAGGTTGTTTAGGGAGCAGTTGCTACAAGTACTGGATAGGTTTGTCCCACTGAGGCAAGGCAAGGAAAGGATGGTAAGGTGAAGGAACCTTGGATGACAAGACATGTGGAACATCGAGTCAGGAGGAAGAAGGAAGCTTACTTAAGGTTGAGGAAGCAAGGATCGGACAGGGCTCTAGAGGTCTACAAGGTAGCCAGGAAAGAACTGAAGAATGGACTTAGGAGAGCTAGAAGTGGGGTATGAGAAAACCTTGGCAGGTAGGATCAAGGAAAACCCCAAGGCGTTCTATGCTTACGTGAGGAACAAGAGGTTGGCCAGAGTGAGGGTAGGACCAATCAGAGATAGTGGAGGGAACTTGTGTGTGGAGTCAGAGGAGGTAAGGGAGGTCCATAATGAATACTTTGCTTCAGTATTCACCAGTGAGAGGGACCTTGACGTTTGTGAGGACAGCATGAAACAGGCAGATATGCTCGAACAGGTTGACGTTAGGAAGGAGGATGTGCTAGAAATTATGAAAAACATTAGGATAGATAAGTCCCCTGGGCCAGACGAGATATACCCAAGGTTACTACGGGAAGCAAGGGAAGAGATTGCTGCCCTTTTGGCAATGATCTTTGCATCCTCACTGTCCACTGGAGTAGTA